ATTTGTATCATTAGTTTTACCCCATTCATCTTTTAAAAAAAAAAAAAAATGAACCAAACTGAATACATATTGATTTTATACACATGTAAATTGCACAAGTGTGCAATGAAAAAACTCATTTGTAAAACATCAATCAAGTTGTTTATTTGCTTTATTACTAATCATTTCGCTTTATTTTCATCTGTTATTATTTAAAATTTATATTTTTATTTCCATAACCAATTGTATTGCAGGAATATACATAAACATAATTGATTTTAAACTTATAAATTATAGTATTTTTATAGATACCCTTAGATTTTATGCAAGTTATCATGATGTCTGTGAATAGAAACAGTTTTAAAATTTTCCTTCCTAGCATCATGAATACATTCTTCTTGTTTAATTGCAGTGGCTGAAACTGCCAGGAAAATGTGGAATAAAAGTTATGAGAGTGGATATCTTTGTCTTACTCTCAATATTAAGGAAAAAGCATTCAATATTTGACATTCCAGAACTATGTCAGATATAGGCTTTTTTTAAGAAACTCTTTATCAGTTTTAGGAAGGCTTTCCTGCTGGTTTTAGCATAATATTAGTACACTAAAAAGGAAAAGCTTATGATCTTCCCAATAGATGCAGAAAAACCATATCACAAAATGCAACATCCACTTTTTATAAAAAGACTCTGAAAACTAGGAATAAAAGGAAACTTCCTCAATCTGATAAATAGCATCTATGAAACATACCACAGCTAACAATATATTTAGTGTAGAAGACTGAATATTATCTTCCTAGGATCAAGAAAACGTGTCAGCTCTCACCAATTCCATTCAGCATTGTGCTGGAGGTTTTAAACAATGGAATAATGCAAAAACATAAATAAAAGTCATCCATACAACATGATCATTTATGAACAAAATCATGTAGAATCTACATTAAAAGTCACTAAAAATAAAACTATATTTAATATGAAACCTAAATAGATGAAATTCAATTTTATTTTTATATATTAGCAAAAATGAATAAGAATTTATATTAAAATACAGTTTCAATAAAATATAAATATTCAACATATATAGATTAATCTGACAAAAATGTACAGGATCTGTGCACACAAAACACCAAAACATTAAAGAAGACCAAAATCAATGAAGAGATAAACGGCATTCACGAATTGGAAAATTCAATACTGTTAAGATGCCATTTCTCTCCTAATTAATATATAAATTTAATGCAATCACAGTAATAATTCCAACAGGCTTTTTGTGTCCATCGTCAATCTAATTCTAAAATTCCTGGGCTATAAACTAGAAATAATTCCAATAATATATAGCAAAATGATGTTTGGCAACTGTATAAATGCAATTCGATGAAGAACGAGTCGTACTGTTAACAAATAATACTGAAACAATTGAATGATCACATGCAAAAAACAAAAACAAACTTCAATTGATAATTTACACCATAAAAAAAAATAACACAATATGGACCATAGACATACAGGTAGAACCTAGAATTATAAAATGTCTAGAAGAAAATATTTGTTATCTTGAGGAAGAAAAATAATTTTTTTTATTCCTGTGCCAAAATACAATTCATAATTTTTTTTTAAATAAATTAATAAATTGGACTTCATCCACATTGGGAATTTCTGTTTGTTGAAAACACTGTGATGGTTAATGTTGTGCATCAGCTTGGCTGGGCCATGTTTCTCAGTGGTTTGATAGTCGTATGATGTTGTGATTACTTCCATGATGAGATTTGATATTATGTGATCATCTCCAAGATGGGATCTGCTGTGACTAGCCAGTCAGTTGAAAGAGAATTTCCTTGGGCGCATGGCCTGCATTGAATAGAAGTGGATATTCTGGCAAGGCTTGTGGACTTTTGCTCATTCTGGATCCTGCAGCTGGCTCCTATTCATCTGACCTGTGGTTCTTGGGACTTTAGCTAGCAGCTTACCTGTGGTCTTGCCTGCTGATCTTGGGATTCATTGATATTTGCAATCTGTGAGCAAGAGTCTTACTCTCTGACCTGCTTATCTTGGGTTCACCAGTCCCTGCAACTACATGAATCAGGAGAAACCTCTATCCTGACCCACAGACTTGGACATTCCAGCCTCTACAACCATGTAAGCCATTTCCTTGATATAAATCTCTCTCTGTATATATATTTACATGCTTTACTGGTTTTGCTTTTCTAGAGAACCCAGCCTAAGACATTTGGTACCAGGAGTTGGGTACCTCCAGGCACTTATAGGTGGAGCTACAGAGCTTTGGAACACGTGCCCCAGCAGGGCAGATGTGGACTGAGAGGCCCGAAGGGCCGAGAGGTCAAGAAACCAGGGAGCTGAAGAGACAAGGTACACAGGAAGCAGAACTGCCTCAGTCTCAAAGGGTATAGCCATAACCTCTGAGGTCTCAAAGGGTGGAGCCATAGCCTCTGGTGTTTTTAAGGGTGGAGTTGCCTCTCATCTGGACTAGGAGAATGTTGCGCCTAAAGCCAAGGGAGCAGAGTTGCTGTCCCAGTGGGCCTAGAAGGCAGAATTGAAGCCCAGGGCCAAGGGACCTCCACCTAGAATTGGGAGAGTGTGACCAATACCTAGAGTCTGGAGGGCAGGGCCATTGTGTAAATGGTCTCAGAGAACAGAGGATTAATATCAAGCCTTGAGAGCTAGTGTAATGTGTTCTGCTGACTTGCTTGGTGCCTGTTATGCCTTCTTTCCCTCCAATATCTTCCATTTGTAATGGAAATGTCTAGCTTGTGCCTGCCTGTTTCACCATTGTACGTTTGGAAGCAGATAACTTGTATTCTAGATTTCACAGATGAAAAGCAATTTTTGGATTTTGGACTTGGAGTTGATTTAAGACTTGCTATGATATGATGGAGTGAATGTGTTTTACATGTGGCAAGGACATGAATTTTTGGGGACTAAAGGGTGAAATGTCATGGATTGAATTGCGTCACCTTAAAATATGTGTATCGATTTGGCTATGCCATGATTCCCAGTACTGTGTGATTGTCTGTCATTTTGTCATATGATGTGATTTTCCTATGTTTTGTAAATCCTGTTACTATGATGTTAATGAGATGGATTAGCAGCAGTTATGTTTATGAGATCTACAAGATTAGATAGTGTCTTGAGTCAATCTTTTTGAGATATAAAAGAGAGAAGCAAGTGGAGAAACATGGGGACGTCAAACCACCAAGAAAGTAGTGCTGGTAGCAGAGCAAGTCCTTTGGACCCAGGGTTCCTGCACAGAGAAGCTCCTAGTCCTGGGGAAGATTGATGACAAGGACCTTCCTCTAGAGTCAACAGAGAAAGCCTTCCCCTGGAGCTGACACCGTGAATTTGGACTTCTAGCCTCCTAGACTGGGAGAGAATAAATTTCTCTTTGTTAAAGCCATCTAGTGGTGGTATTTATGTTATAGCAGCACTAGATAACCAAGACAAATGCTGTAAGAAAATAAGAGACAAGCCACAGAATAGTAGAAAAGATTTGTAAATAACGCATTTTACAAAAAAAGGTATATTAAAAAATACATAAATAACCCATAAAAATCCACTAATAATAAAATAAATACAATTAAAATGAGAAAAAGCTATAAACAGTTTACCAAAGAAAATAAACAGGCTTCAAAAGATCACATGAAAATATATTCAACTTAATTATTCATTTGTTATTGTTA